GGGGGGGGGGTCACTCCCTGGCCGGGGAACAACCCTTGGGACACCTGGGAGGCCCAGGTTTTAAAATGCTTTATCAAATGTTTGGACTTTATCCTGAAAGCAGTGAGCACCACTACTATTTAAGCATGAAAAGTAAAGAAGTCCAGGGTTGCATAGAACAATCATTCGGTGAGGATGGAAAGGAACAGAAGGCCAGGCAACGCGGATGTAAGGAGGCAAGTGGCTGCTGGAGGAATCTGAGGATGGCAGCTGGATGACGACTGTGGCATTTAATCATCAACACAGCGGGAAAGAACTAAACGGATGCTGGTGCTGGGCGAATAAGCAGGAGGAATCAACGCCAGCTTTAGGCTGCACAACTACAGGATTATTATTTCCTAGCACTTCCAAGTGCTGTATCTGCCAGACACTGCAAAGTACTTGACAATACACTCTCTTTAATCCTCACCACACACTTGGAGATACATTTGTCCTCATTTTATAGGGGGTTCCAAATTTCGCTAAATAATTTGCCAAGGTCAAGACTGAATCCAAAAATTTCTTACTTAAAAAACTGTAGCCGACGCAGCATATTAAAGCACAGCACTAAGAAGCCAACGCAGCTGCTGCAACACAAGCTCGATCCGCAGCCAGGGAGTGACCCACATGGTGCAGGAGACCTCTCCTGACCCAGCCTCTGCTCCCCTCAGCAGTGAGCTTTGTCAGACTGCCTTTTCTGCTCCCCACTCTGACTCTGGTGAGTACTCTCACCCCCCACACCTCTGGCCTGTATGCATGAATAAATAAAAAAATCCTTAAAAAAAGAAAAAATTTAAAAGTAGATGACTGAGTACCAATTCAGGCCTAGAGTGGGGCCCAGACTTTCCATTTCCCTGCAGGGATTTCTGGTCCTGTGCCCTTCCTTTATTCTCCTCACCCCCTTTCCTCCACTTCCTTTACTCTCCACCTACTGCTTTACTTCTCCACCAACCTTCCACTAGCCTTTTACGAAGGGAATGTTCGCTTTGTCTTCAAGAAATTCTTTGTGCAGGTTTCCAGCCTGCCTGTCCAGCTGATAGGTGCTTCAGAAGACTACAACTACACATATGCTTCCTCTCCTTTTTACTTTTTTTAACAGTAAAGAGTGACAGATGCTTTTTTAAAAATTTATTGCTTTATGCAGACAGAACGGGGGTACAGGCCAGAGGTGTGAAGGGTGAGAGGACTCGCCAGAGACAGAGCAGGGTGCAGAACAGGTGGACCTACAGAAACACGCCTTTGCTGAGGGGAGCAGCCGGGAGACCAGAGGAGTCTGCTGCGCCGTGGGGTCCTTCCCCGGCTGGGGATGGAACTCGTGCTGCAGCGTCTGTGGACGGTTCCATAGTGCTTCGTGGGCTTCAGCCCCTGGCCCCACCAGGGAGGGCCCCAGATGCTTTTCCATTAAAACCTTATTTTGGGTTTCATAAAAATGGTAGATATATCTTACTATGTTTTGGTAAATTTCCTCATCTCTCTTAGGCCACTTTAAAAGAAATTTTTATTGTAGTAAAATATAGAAACATACAATCTACCAGTTAGAGCCTCCGCAGCCTACAGCTGTAGTGGGGCACCGAGCGCTGTGGGGCATCACCTGGACTTTAATCCTCCCAGAACCCCTGGCCCTTGTCGGCAACGGCAGCGGGGCCACTCCCCTTCCCCTCAGCAGAGGGCCCCCGCTGCGGCGCAGGAGTTTAGGGAAGAGGGAAGGGGCCCGGGCTAGAATGCAGGGCGAGACCGCGGTTTCTCTCGGGTCTTTATTCACAGGCTCAGCAGCCCTGCCACGGATCGGCGCGATTCCTGCGCATCAGGAAGCGGATCTTGCGCGCCATCTCCATGTTGTACACGCGCCTGCACGTCTCGTAGCTCTCCCGCTGGCGCCGGCGGCACGGCTTCTCGTAGTAGCGGCGCCGCCGGATGTCCTCCAGGAGCCCGTCCTCACCGAGGATCCTGGGGAGCAGCGGGGGTCAGAGGCTGGGTGTGGGAGGCTGTCAGCTCCCCCAAAGACCCACTCACATGTGCGGGAAGGGGCGACAACATAGTCCCCGCTGTTGGGGAGTCCACAGTCGGGGTCCTGCTCAACCTCCTACCACAACTCCCTGAGAAGGGAACTCAGGCCCTAAGTATAGCAGCCAAGGGTCATTTCAGAAACTTCCACTGAGGTGAGACATGTGCAGTAGGAAAGAAACCAGTGGGGTGACCCCCTCCTCGGTCTCACTGGAGAAAGGGGTTCCATGCCTGTTGTGTTTAAGAACCGGTGCAGCTAAAGCCTGCAAGTCTGAGAGCTCTGAGCACCTAAACACAAGCAAAGATGGGTCAGCATCTCTCTCTCCCTGCCTGCCTGTAGACAGACAGGAATGAAGGCTGCTTTCTAGAAGAGCCTATTACATTAGCGAAAATAGAGGAGATCAAGTGCTGAAAGAAAAAGATTAAATGCATAAATGTAAAAGGACACAAACCCTGTGTATGACTTCACCTACGGTCTGTCAGGGTGACAAAGACCACGTAAGAGCAGGATGAAAGAAAACTGCAAAAAAGGGAACTTACACACCTACTCAGATGTGCTTACTGGATGCAGGAAGAGCTCTGCAGAACTCATGATGTGAGCAGAGGTGGTCAGGACGCATCTGCTTCCCAAGACAGGTGAAGGACTAACACACCAAGAGTCTTAGCGAAGGAGACCGCTTGGAGTCCAGGCACCTGGCTGGACAAGTCAGCTGCCAGCTGAAGCGAAACTCAGTGGCTTGTGTATGAAGAGCTGAGTCACCAGGCTGGGGGAGTCTGGAGGCGGCAGACTCCATTACTGCAGCCCTCTAGGTCAGGGGCAGCCGGACACATGCCATTGTGCCTCCTTCCGTGCTCAGGGAGCGATCCCTCATGTGGGGATTTGGGAACCTTCCCTCCCCCCACCCTGAGGACCACTGTGGGCCTTAGCCACATAACTCGCACCCCAGGCCGTCTCACCGGGCAGACACATGTGCTGCTTTGGCCTCCTTGCTCCAGACATGCTCAAGTTTCAACCATCTCCCTCTCCTCACTGATATGGCAGTTAGACCACAGAATATGGAACTTACTTTTAAATTACTATCAGAAAGCAGAGAGAGACCAGGAGAAGCCTGGGGAATAAGAGAGACATACAGGTGGCCAGAGAAACAAGGTGAGGGAAAAGCAGAGACAAAGAGAAGTATATTGGTCAAAAAATTCTGTCTGACAAAGTCTGGGACATTCTACAACCAGCCTGCTCACATCTGTATGCTTGAAAGTCCTCGCCTGAGTGTGAACCTCTCCCCTGTCTCATACATTACTGTAAACCAACACTACTTCAAGGAAAAAGGAGAGGTCCTTGAGGGCCTCCCTGGGGTTAAGTCTCAGCACTATGAAGTGGTCCACAGCCACTGCAGTGTGAGTTCGATCCCCGGTCAGGGAGTGACCCCAGGGCTCAGCAGACCCCTCCCGTCTCCCTCTGCCCCCTCAGCAGTGGGTTTCAGTGGATCCACCTGTTCTGCTCCCCCTGACTCCCTGCACCTCTGACCTGTACCCCGGTTCTTGTATGCATAAATAAATCTTTAAATAAAATAATAAAAAAAAGTCCTTTTACTCTACCAGCAAAGTATTAATTCACTGCAACCATCGCAGTCTCCACACTGCTTCCCAACAATTCCACACAAAGTTCCCGTCCCCCAAGTTCACAAGGAAGCCTAAAAGAGACATTACACTCCAGCCCCGAGTCTCCAGGGTTTGACTCTTTTTTTTTTTTTAAAAGATTTATGTATTGATGCACACAGAACTGGGTACAGGCCAGAGGTGCAGGGGCGGTGAGAGGCTCCACCAGAGACAGAGCGGGGAGCAGAGCAGGTGGATCAACAAAGTACAGTGCTGAGGGAGCAGTGGGGAGACAGGAGAGGTCGGCTGCAACCTGTGGGTCACCACCCGGGCCAAGGATCGAACTCGCACTGAAGTAGCTGCAGCTGGCCTGCAGTGCTGCATTCCAACCCACTGTGCCACAGGGAGGGTGGGTCTCTAAATTCTTTGATTTTGAGCAATGTAAATCTCCCCTCCCCCAACCTAGTCCTCAATTAGTATTTTAACCCTTGAAGTGAAGTATTTCCATGCATCCTACCTGGACTACTTGCAGGGTGCCACAGACAAAATCTGAGTAAATCCGATGCATCGGCCTGTACCTCCAGCCCTACTTGAGCAGAGGTGGGTGCGTGTTATCTCTAACACTGGGATAATGGCAACCAGTACAAACACCACCTAAAATTTTAAGTAGGAAGAGGAGGCTTCAAAGACATTCCAGAGTGGCTCCCAAAGGTAGTAGTACAGCTCCTCCCCTCTCCTCTGCGCTAAGGATGCTTCTGCGGAGAAGACTGACAAGCACTGAACAGGACTGACACAGGCGGGGAGCACCTGCGCGTGCTGAGCAGACACTGAGCGCTCTCGCCCGCCAGCGCCCGCGGCTTCTACACAGGCTACACACCTGTGAGCGGGCCTCTCCCTCACGCATCTGCCACGGCCCTGCTGAACAGCAAATCTCACAGAAGATTTATAAACACTGCGGTGAAATGAGTCTCATCAGGAGGCGAGACCGACGCGCTGGAACCCCGAGATGTTACTAAGGGATGCAGGCTCGTGCACAATCCACATAAAATGACTATTCTATCTGAAGCGACACACGAGTTTAAAGGAAACAGAGGTGTAACGTGACCTGAATGTATGCTATAAAGCAACAGTAATTTTTCTAAAAATGGGTTCAAGACTTGGAGTTTACTGCACATGGTTACAGAGGCATACGACTTCATTCTCACGCGTGGCCTCCCGGCGCACTGAGCAGGAGGCTGCGCTGCCAGTCGTGAGCCATAATGAGCTCGTGGGTTTACTCTGGACTCTCAATTCCGCCTCTGACCTGCTTCCTTTATGCCAACTTCATATTGTTTTCGTTGCTGTCGCTTTATAGACCCATCTGACTTCACTAAAACCCGCAGAAAAAGACTGACAGGGAGAGATCAGAAAAGGGTGAATAAGTTGCAAGACTTTCCTTTTCCCAAGTGCAGCATTTCATTAGCTGATTCACTGCAGCCTAAAGACTCCACTTGTGCCTCCAACATAATGACATCTCAGCGCTTTCACAGGAAGCCGCCAGAAGCTCTGAAACAGGAGAGGCCTGGGAGAAGCAGTCATAGGAAAAACACGGAGGGGGTACCACAGGTACGTAGCTGACAATCTTCACGCTCCACGTGACAGAGGAGCAGCCCTGCCCAGGGGCAGGGCTGGCAGGGACAAGGAACGAGGGACAGCTGTCCCAAGACCAGGTCCTTTGAAGACACCAAAGCTGGGCCCAGACTCTTCCCACAGTTTCGCTTCCTACAGGCTCCTGCCGTCCAACCTGCCACATGTCCAACCTTTTGCTTTCTAGGTTCTCTTTTAGGTCTCCCTTAGTCACCACAACCACTACCAATATTTAAACCCAAACAGGATTAAGTGAAAGTGAAAGCCATAGGTCTCTGTGTCCTGAGAAACAGGGACCTGGTAACAGAGCATTTATGATGCTTTCCACCACTATGTGACCTAAGAAACACAATTTGATGTTTTAGATCCCCTTTCTGGTGAAAAAAGGTGCCACCTACTGGCCTTTTTCATACAGTTTCTTTGATATTCCCACCAAGCAAGCATGTGCTTCTCCAGACTGCTTCAGTGGCTGGAGAAAACGATGAAGCAAGCCAGAGATCCTGAGCTGGGTCAAGGGAAGGCTAACAACTACCTGCCTGAGAAGCGACCCTGGGAGGGCAGTTCGCATCAGCGCGCCCGCAGATCTCTGGCTGCCACTCAGAACCTTTCAGTACAGCCCCTCACTCTCAGCTCCTTTCCATCTTTGTTTCTGCTGCTGCAGAAAGCTTCCTCTAAACCCGGAACGCTTTTCCATCTCTCGCTTGCTTCTCCAAGATCCCAAGCGAATGTAACTTTTCTACTGCATCGTCCTACATCAGTCCCTCTCTTTGCCGCCTCCTTTTTAAAACTATCCAAAAGGAAGGGTTTATTGCTGGAGGGAAAGAGGACGTTTCCGCAGGCAGAAGGGGGCAGGAAGAGCAGCTCCTGAAAGAGACAGTTCTACTCAGAGGCCTCCCAGACCCAGACTGTCTGTCCATCCGATACTCCTGCTTTCTGGCAACTTCATATCTTGATTTCCCCTTCTGGCACTTTCCTAAGTGCTGAATAGAATTGAGGTTGATCATCAGCCGGGTGGCTACTGAGGAACCGGCTTCATACTCTCAGGCTTTGGTAAGAACGTCAAGATGATAAACTGAGGGGCTCATAGGTTTGACGAGACAGAACAGTTGGGCGGGCACCGCTCTGAGACAATCTAATGCCAGCGTGCGGGGTGCAGGGGTGGGGTGCAGGGTGAGGATACCTACCACTCCGCGAATCTGCCCAGGCACCTGCTCCTCACACTTACCTGTTTAGGGTCCTGTAGGCACCTTCAACGTTCCCCTCCTGCACCATCACAGTCCTAGCAATGAACTTCAGATGCTTGGCCATGACCTTGAAGTCTTCACTCTGCGGGTCGTCAGGCAGGGTGAGAAAGGGGGAGTCAAGCGCAGAGGCCCGGTAAGCAGCGCCGCGCGGCCGAAGCCCCCAGCCCCTCCCGCCTCGCGCCGCGCGGCTCCCGGGAG